GAGGAGAAAGAATCCTCTGCCCTCAGCCAAAACATCCCATACATCCGCTAGCATATACATCTCATCGATAATGTTCAGCCTTGCGGATACCTCTAATGCTTTATTTGAGTAATCGCATGCATACCCCCTCCCCCCCCCCCCCCCCTTTATTTGCCCATCCTGCCGTTGTCCTTTCTTTATTTATCTCATCGCCCCCGGCTTCTCTTCGCTTGCGGAGGCCAATCACAGCATCCAGCCCCTGGCGAAAATTGTTTCCGCTCCCCTCCTCGAAGTTGTACGCTGTATGATGATGATGATGAGAAGTCGTGATTACGCTATATGTGCCATCCATCGCTCGACAGAGATACGCACGTAGGCAGAAAGCATCCGCCCTGAGGACGGGGGTTATAAATCGCCCTGTCAATAACTTAACTACGGAGTACTCCGTACTGCAAGCTCTCTCTCAAGACTGAAACGCCGCTTGCTCACTTTGGTCGTGAAGAGTGTTTGTTGAGTTTTGGTTAGATAAAAGCCTCTTTGGAAAGAGAAAGGGTATTAAATAATAGTAATTGTAGTTAATCGCCGAAGCTAAGGTGGACATCATCAGCATCAGCATCAGCATCAGCATCAGCATCCATCACTCTGGCCCCCAGGGTCTACGATGTTTGATTAATACATCCAGCCACAGACTTATGACGGTTATCATGCATGGTCTCCTGCTTGCATATATATATATATATATATATATACTTCTGTACATGCAACCATTTATCCAACTTTTCGCCTTTTACCTGGTAGTCATGATTCTCTCAAGTAGTTAACTACTGATCTAGTACTCCGTAGTTAGCAATTTTTGTTCCACGACAGAGGACTGACTAGCCTGATAAGCGTCAACGACGACATACACCTGCATAGTAACTACCTACGCAGCGTAGATCTTAACATCTAACACTCGCTCTGCAGCTCGCTCATCCAATCCATCTCAACCGCCGCAAACCAGCCCTCCATCGTCGGTGGGGGCGGAAAGGGAAAAAAAAAAAAAAGAGAACCATAGAACCATACTCCGTACCGTGGTTTACCTAGGTATAACTTCTTCCAAGGTTGAAGGTTGATTTGATATTTCCACGTGCATCCTCCATGCTCCCAATCCAATCTAATCCAATCCAATCCAACCCATAAAGCTTAGCCAGCCTAGATTATGTAGCTTATTTAGCTGTAGTTAACCGACAAACCACAAGACAGATAGATAGATAGATAGATTCATGCCTTGGATTTGTTCCCGTTGAGTTTTCTCAGGACGAAGCTACTAATCTACCCACTAGTTATTTATCTCTTTTTGAAAGTCCGGAGAGGTTTTTTTAACGGCCTTTCTCTCTCTTTTTTATAAGGGGCTTGTTTGTTGCCTGGCGCCCAATGCAATTTTATAGATAGATATCTAAGATACTATAAACAACGGGAGTTTGGAAGGGAAAAAAAAAAAAAAAAAAAAAAAAAATAGACTGTTGGACCAACATTAACTAACTACCGCATAAAAAATTTACTTCTCAAAGTTGCACTTCAACCACAAATACTATGGTTTCCTAGGAGAGCAACATGCACACCACCCTGTCCTCTGTCCTCTGTCCATTAAATTTGTCCGAATTCATCCGCGGGGTAAAATCCACCGCGCGGACACACCGGTTTATGCTTCCAAGACTTGAAACAGCCGGGTTTCAGAGACAAGTTTTTATTACTCCGTACAGTCCCCAGTTGCTGGCTGGGCCGGAGCGTTACTTGCACACCACCTAAGTTACCCAAGATGCAAGAACAAGCGTAATACTCGATTGCCAATAATGCGAACCCTTGGTGTTTAACAACAAAGAAACGCCATGTAACTCGCTGGATCGTTGGCTTTTTTCCCCTCTGTAGTCAGTTGGTTAGGTACGGGCAGTAAGTAACAAGGGCCCCCGCAGAGTTCCATGTGGCGTCAAGGCCCTGCTGCTTATTGCCTTGCTTACGCTGCTGGCTGGCTCTTTCGATGGGTGGCAGGCAGGAGGTAGAGAGCTCAGCTCGTCCAGCTTAAATTCCAACGCGCTTGTCCACGGATATTGGAGATTATGGTGACATGTCGATGTGGTGGTGGTTCTAAAAACCGAAAAGAAAAGAAAAGAGAACAAAGGTTGACGCAGTAGGTAGCTGAGCAGTGAGCATGCGTACATTTCCTGCGTGTGTTCTCACGGCGGCGTGGAGAGTATTTAATCGTCTTATCATTGTACGGAGTACCTCGCTGACTGACGACTCCCCAGCACGTATTGCGGAAGCCGACCTGCCCGGCTGCCGGTGGGCACGATATATTTGTATATTAAAATATCACTGGCAGCCCGCCTTGAGGATGGATCTTCGGTGCAGCGGAGATATCTACCCCATGCACCTTTCCATGTCCTGTACAGTACTCTACTACCTGCTAATGCGTGTGTAAATTTTTTTTTTTTTCAAACATACCATACACCTTATGCAGGGCGATAGATAGCCATGAACTACCAGCCATGAACTCCGTTCCCGACACGGCCAATGTGTCCACAGCATCGAGAATGCCCAATTTCCAGCTGGACTGGTCTCGAATCCAGTCCAGCCAGTATGTATGTATGGCTCGAGATAGTAGTAAATGATAAGGCGTGATCCCGCGCACTTTTTACCCTCCTGTTGGGTACCCTTCCTTATCTCATTTCTATTGGTAACTGCCACTGCAGGGTGGAGCAATGTTCAACACTATGTATATAGTCTAGATGGATTCAGTATAGTGTGGGATCCTAAGGTGTTGTGATTCTTACATGTCTAGTCCAAGTGACAAGGGACTACTTAGTATTGCGTGAGCAATTGTGGGGCAAGGCCCCCCTTGAGGGCTAGATCCAGAATGGTATAGTGAAGTCTCTCCATCAAGGATGACTCAGTTATGAAT